CTTTGGCCCGTGGTGCACCACATGTGCCACGCCGCTTGTTTTGTATAGTGCCATTTTGCCATGCACGGTATACTTTTACCACGGCGGTACGCGAACAGTTCACAAAATCAGTCGTTTCCGAAATGCTTCCACCCTTGGCCCGAAAGCCAATAATCATGCCCTTTTGGACGTCGGATAAATCGCTACATTTCTGCATTGCGCCAACGACTGAAATGCTTTTCGTTGCCCTAGGACATCCAATATATACACTACACTGTAATGTGCTGCCACCTACACTCTGTGATTGGTTATTTCACGTTGACGTCGAAAGTAGGTGGTGGTCACATTAATGTGACTGGACTGTGTATATATATATAGCATAAAAAGCTTCAATTGATATTTTTATGTTCTTCCTTTTCTGTAAATCCCTTTCTTTTCTTTTATTATTCTAACCTAATCGAAACACTTTCTCACACTTTTAAATTCCCATCCTGTCCTTAAATCTATTTTTGGCTGAAGCATGCATTAATTAAAAGTAAGATATTTTTCCCTTTACTCAGTGGGAATCGCGGGACCTATTTAATAAACCAATTAGAATTACCAAGATTTCTCTTTTTCTCTAAATCGAGGCATTTCACGAATTTTCCTTGCAAGATTTTCCTTTACATTTAGGCTGAAGCACGATGAAATTGTGTCTCTTTCTCTCCAGTCATTCATTTGAAAATGATTAAATAAAATTAAATTGAAACGGTTTGATGAAAGGGAGCAGGATAAATAAAATGCTCTCTTCAAATATTTAAAAGTAAATAAATAAAAAGAAAAAGTAATCGGAGAGCACTAATAACTTACTTGCGGAATTGAGTTGCCATAGGAAGAACACTCTGAGAAGAATAAAAAGAAAGAGGTTTCGTTGTCTTCGCTACAAAGAAAAACGTCTGTCGAGATCTTAGAGGAGATATTACTAAATTACTCCTCTAAGGTCGAGACTGATTATTTAAACAGCATTCCCTTCACCGTTGGGGATTGGACTTCTCTTAGAATCTCACCTACCCTGCTTTCTGGTTGCTTCGAACTCCTTATTGGTTTGTGTCTAGCCTACCTGAATTCTAAAAGTGTTTGTATCATACAAAATGTGAGAAACTTAAAAAACAAATGAGAACGAAGTGCTTTGTCTTTTTCGGAATCGGATATGTGTTTACCAACTTGCTGGAAATGACATCATATAAAATAATAATAAAGAAAAACGATTTTCGTTCTAAAGCAAAACCATTCAAGGATTTCATCATCCGTTAATAATATCCTCAACTGTTGATGCTATGAAAGAGGTTATTAAAATTCCTAATGTGTTAAGATATTCGGTTCCTCTAGAAACGCTCGGTCCTAAAATAACGTCATAAATTAGTAACGAGGTTTCTATTTTATTTATTTTTTGCCTCACCGTTGTGTTCTATTTTATGGTATTTACTCTCAAAAAATATAACAGTTGAAATTTAAAAAGTGAGCGTTTTAAAATAATTCACGCTCATATCTTGAAATTTGAAAATATAATTATATGATTATTGATACTTATATTTTGATAATGTTTTTATTTATTGATATTATTATTCAATGGTTTACCATATTATTTGTTTAAATTGAAATAATAATATTAAAATTTAGTGTTTTCGTTATATATTTTTTTCCCTTTCAGTTTGGATTCAGTATGATTATAATTTTAATTAAATTTTAAGAAATCACTATCTTTTTATTGCATTATATATCGCAGTATATATGAATTATTGATTTCATAAGTAAAATTTCAATTTTTATTTTATTATGGTGTTTGAAAAAAATATGCTATTCAAATAGTTGAATTTTTTTTTAAACATGGTTACCAAAAATAGTGCAACAAATAATTTTGATTATCAATCCAAAAAGTTTCAAAATTTGAATTTAAATGAAGATAGACCCGGAGAAGGTTCTGGTATTTCCATTAACAGACCAAGTTTATAAGAGAGAGAGTCAAATCTAACATAAAGATAAAGTGACCAAACCACAAATTGACAATGAATAGTATCCGGATACACTCAAGATACATTCAAAATAAAAACAATAAAGGTGACAAATACCCGATTGTGACTAAGAAAACTATGTTGTTAAATTGTTAAATGCTAACACAGGTAGTACTTTAAAAATAAACACAACAAATATTTTCGAAAAATTATGTGTCCAAAAATAAAAAAAAAGATATAAAAGAAAACAAACAAAAGGTAATTTGCAACTTAACCGAACTTGCACTTCAGATTAAAAATAAGGAAAATAGCTAGGTCAGTCAAATTTTAAAAAACTGATTTACCTTATACCATATTAAATTAGAAAGCTTTGTTTTTGATTTCAATTAGTGATTAACTGTGTTAAACAGGTGTAATGCAAAATCTGTGAAGACTGATCACCTTTTGTGATTAAAAAAGTAATTTGTCCTCACACATTTTTTTCTGAAATCGGGGTTAATTATCGCAATAAAAATACCAAGAAAGGAAATAAAAGCATAAAAAATGTAGAATATAGAATTAAAAAATATAGAATATAGAATTAAAAAATATAGAATAAATATAAAATAAAAATATAAAATATTGGCCATAGTAGGAATTTGAAATAATGTTGACTCTAGTTAGACGATCTGACTGTACCTGAGCTGATACCCAAACTTTCTCACAGTAACCAACGAAAGCCCTTTGAGCCACGACTAACTTAACGTGCAAACTTAGCGTATACATGCCGCTTGTTTTACCTGTTGGTATTGAACTCACGACCTTCATCCAAAGAACATAGACTGAAGAAAATGATTAGCTCTTCAAAAACGTAACTAACGCGGGGAACTGCTCAGTGCTGTATACTATACAAGAAAGACAATTTTCAGAGGGAGAAACATATTCAGATATCGCAGAGCGTCATTTAAACTACGATCCAGCTCATGCTCATAAAATGCAAAGTGACAGTTAGAAGATACTCCACCTGTGAACTGGTTATTGGAATACTCTACACGCATAGTTGTCTACGCTGCTTCCCGCTAACTGCCTCTTTATTATTTTTTTCGATAACAAAATGTGTTAGCAGATTTTGTTTATCAATAGTGTTTATCAATAGTGCAAAAATATAGTAGTGTTTATCAATAGTGCAAAAATACAGTAGTGTTTATCAATAGTGCACTTCCCCAAACCCAGTATTGGTTAGAAGGAGAAGATGGTGCAAACCCGTTTCAAGAACCTCTGCTGCTGTGCCCCTAAATGTTGCTGTTTTCTTAATACACAGGGACTGCACCCAACCATGGTAGACCGGTTTACATTATGTAAATGGAAGCTAAACTTCTTGCCCTACGTATATTCGTTGCCTCATCTTTGCATTAGTAGTGTCAGCGACATCTTTTATCTACTGCGCCATCAAAGAACGTGTAGCATCGTGGACATGGCAAACATGTTGGAAATATGTTTTTTTCTTTCTAAAATGTCACGCAATAAAGAGTAAAAGAAGAATTTAAAGTTATGGAGCATCATGAATTTAGTACGAAAACAAATATCTTGTAGTTGTTCTAGAAACAGAACTCTTATAAAGCGCCTTTGTTCACTTTTTGTTAGTGATTTTCAAAACTGAAACAAGAAACAGATCACTTTCTTGCTTTTTTTTCTAAGTGTCATGATGTCACAGTTATGACATTCAGAAGCAAACAAACGTGCACTTAAATCGTACAGTTTTCCGCAATAATGTCCTCAAAATGTCTTTCCGCACTTAATATACGATGCTTTAAAAGTTTGTAATTCAATTACCTTCTATCACGTACCGTTTTTGAGATATGAATGTTAACTCAAAATTCTTCCCCAGATGGCGCTGATATTAGTTAAATACTACTTCAATGAGTGTTACTGAATTTTAGGCATGGGGAAAAGCACAACAGTTGAAGAAGTTCAAATACAAGTGAATGAATTAGAAGTGTTTGATTATGCTTCAAAGCCGGGAGCCCTCCTTTCGGTTCATTCACCTTTTGAAGTTGTTGATCCAGGATCTGACGGAGTTATTCTGGAGCCTAATAAGAAATACAAAGTACACATCCGATTGGTACGCCATATTTCTTTACTTTTAGCTCTAATCTTCCATTTTTTACTAGAAATTATGAATATAATTTTACTTAAAATAAATATAGATCCATTTACTATGCATACTAGCGAAACAATGTCGTTAAGGCGGAACTATATTTTTTCTACAAAATTTTACGAATTCTCAGAGAAATATCTCAATTAATATAATACTGTTTATTATTAGTGTAAAAATGCAGAACAAACCAACAATAAACAATAAAAAGAAATTTTTTCTTCTTCATCACAACCATGGTAGTGGTTGGGAGGAGAGGAGGGTGCAAACCCATTTCAAGTACCTCTGCTGCTAAGTGTTATTTTTTCCTTTATGCACCGGGATCACACACATCCTTGGGGGACTAATTTACATTACGCCTATGGAAGCTAGACTATTTCCCCCCATGTATATTCTTTGGTTTGGTCAAGAAAGCTATCTAAGATATCGACCCCTTAATGTTAATTTTACTTTTCATGTATTTCACCATATTTCAAGAATTTTTTAAGCGATTTGAAAAATTTTTGCACTTAACTATAAAATTCGTTTATCCAAAGATAATTCAATGCAATATATGACATTTAGCATGTATTAGGGATAGCCTGGTCGGTAGGGCACTGAGTCCATGTCCCAGAGTTCGTGGGTTCGAACCCCTGTCGAGTCGCAAAAGTCCTACATTTTCCCATAACAAATCAGTACCTTGGATTGGAGATCGATCGTTCTCTGATTCAGGTCAAAATTACGATCTGTGTATGTATGACTGGGTCCGCCCTATAAACTGGTGTAACGGGCAGAATTTGAATTCTTGGCCATAGATGGCGCCACTGGAAAACAAGAACAATCACTTCCCCTCTGCCTACACTGGCATACGTTAACAACAACAACAGTATATATTTTTATTAGTTTATACAATTTTATTTAATAATATACGAAGAATTTTTGAATTTCAAGGTATGCAATTTTTTACATAATTTTTNTTTTTAAGCGATTTGAAAAATTTTTGCACTTAACTATAAAATTCGTTTATCCAAAGATAATTCAATGCAATATATAACATTTAGAATGTATTAGGGATAGCCTGGTCGGTAGGACACTGAGCCCATGTCCGAGAGTTCGTGGGTTCGAACCCCACCGGCCAAAGACTCCCCATGTAGTAAAGTGACTGATGCACGTTAAATCTGTCGAGTCACGAAAGTCCTACATTTTTCCATAACAAATCAGTACCTTGGATTGGAGATCGATCGTTCTCTGATTCTGGTCAAAATTACGATCTGTGGATGAATGAATGGATGCATGAACGGGTGTGACGTGGCAGAATTTGAATTCTTGGCCATAGATGGCGCCACTGGAAAACAAGAACAATCGCACCCCCTCTGCCTACACTGGCATACGTCAACAATAACAACAGTATATATTTTTATTAGTTTACACAATTTTATTTAATAATATACGAAGAATTTTTGAATTTCAAGGTATGCAATTTTTTACATCATTTTTAAGAAAGAATGCAATATTTAAGGGCAAGATTTGTCAAATAGTTTCTAAGAAATTGAATTTTGAGAAGGGTAAAAAAATAGGATTTTAAAAAAAATGTCATTTCTCTGGAACGATTTAGCTACTTTTGCTCAAATTTTGTATGCTTCCATGCAAACTTACACTCTTTAAAAATGACGCAAAAGTTGCATATCTTACAATGCGAAGTTTTGTCAACTTTCATTTAATAAAATTACGAAAATAACGAAAAACAGTAAATACTTCTGTGTTAAAGTAATTTTTTGCATAAAATTATCTTTGGCTAAACTAAGTTTATGATTGTATTCAAAATTATTCAATTCACTTAAAAAAATTTTCGAGATGTGACAAAATGCGCAAGAAGTAAAATTAACATTGAAAGTTCAAAACTTTGGGCCTCTCTCCAGGCCAAACTATTGGGACCATAATTCCTAGATTGTGGTTACCCTACAATATCTTAAGTCTCAGAAATCTGAACTCGTCGTAAAAAAGGTTATGTTTTTTTGGAAAAAGTATGCGTTTGCCTCTAATTTCGTAACTTAAAGTATCGTCTGCATTAATTAATAAGCATATTTGATGTCTCTCTCCGAATCATTAATATAAAATCCCAGAATGCGAAGATCCGATCATTAGATAGAAAGATATTCAGGGTGGTCCTTTTTTGCACACTGTTCACAAATAGTTTTAATACTAATATACATCCACTATTTTTATTAAATCATTTTGTAATGCTAACATTTTATTTTACTAAGGTACAGTTTTATATTAACGCAACCAATTTTTTTCATTTCCTTATACTTTTACTCAAAATTTCAGGCGAATGCTTTTAAATCAAGCATGCAAACACACTTTCGAATTAATTAAGTATTGTAATTAAATAAGTGCTCTTTTAAAACATAGAAATAATAATCTGTTTTTTAAAATTATTGGAAGTCTAATTTGGAACTGAAATAAGCCCCTGATTTTGGCGGAAAAATTGCAACTTAATAAGGGAAAAACAAATCAAAATTCCTAAGTTTTTGGTTAGATTAAGCTAAGTATTGTTATTTCAGGAAGAAAATCATTTGTTGAAGCTCCCATATAAAACCGATTGTAGGGACTACGAGGAAGAGTGGATCAAAAACGGAAGAACTGGACCTCGATCACAACAGGTACATACTATCAATTATCTATTACTTAATGATCATCATTTAGAAGTCTTGTAAGTTTTAAATGTACATGCTCATTTTCCTCTTTATTTAATACTATACCCCCAAGATACCTTTTTTATGATTGAATTATGCTAAATTTATCATTCATTATATTTTTGAAGCCCACAAAAGACCTATTTTTTTCAATTGTGGTAGTTCTTTAAGAAGTTTTTAAATATATAGTTTACTCTTTCGACTGCTACAGTAATAAAACCTTCTACATCTTTTATTTGAGTTGTTCATTTCTGTTAAAAATCTTAAGGTGTGCGTCAACAGTTGTTGGAATGAATACAATTTAAAGTGCTTCAACTGCTCAAAGCCACTGATGAAGAGGCAACTTCAAGCAACTTGCGTAAGTAAGTATAAAAATCACCTTTCATTTCTTAAAAAAGTTGCAGAACAGAATGTGCTCATAACCCATGGTATTCAGTTTTTGAAACTTACATCTGCAGCATTATCCTGATTAGGGAAATCCCCGGGTTGACTACTCTTTCTTCTTCTGTATTGCTGTAATTAAGGAAAATTGGGTTAGATTCAAATCATAAAGTGTTTTAAACTATTAATATAAGAGGTAGTCAATTGAAAAACAAACACCTATAAAACATATCCCTTGCCTAATTTGGTAAAACTGTTGTTACGATGGACAAATTTGTAGGGTTGATGCAAATGATTTTGACAAGACAAGGGTCAACACATTGCTACTTAATTGCTCCAGTGATGGTCATTGTGAAAATTGTTTTCATCCAGCAGTGGAAATCGAGGAAATGAAAGAGCAGACAATTGGTGTCTGAGTTTGCTTGTACACTTGCAATTTATCGTTTTATGTCTGCTGGGAATGCAAACACTAAGAGTCCCTGCCAAGTGTGCACGAATGACCAAAGTAATGCAGTGAAGGGCGCAGGCAAGACGATTTACGCCTAAGACAGATTTGTCGAACCAATACGCCTGGTGTGATTGTTGTAAAAGTAGTACTCCATATACGCTGATCTAGACTAATGGTGACGGTCAAGAAAAAATCCTTGAGGATGATCCGATGGCATGCCATCACAATTATGATGAGAGAAAGGCTCCTCTTTGGTAGCCCGACGATTTGTGTGTAACATACAGAATTTGGCGGTAGAACATCTTACCTCCCACCTTCAGTCCCTTTGTAAGCTGATGAAAGTGATCTATTTCGCTCACTGACCATAGGCCAGTGGTTCCTTGCTTCGGTGATCTACTGAGAATTGTGTCTCACGATTAGTCCTTGGATAAAGCTATCTGAAACCACGTATTTAATTTGCTTATATTTATGCTTTTAAAATGCGATTTTTTTATAACTTAATAAATTTAAATCAACGATAGTTGAAATAAAAGAAATATGTTATGTATTGAAAAGAAAAATTAATATAGAAATGATACTAATTCATTTAAGAGAAACGTAAAAAATCATATTAACATAATTCATGCCAATGATGCTTCATTTTGATAATAGGGGCTAAACGTATTAAAAAAATGGGCCTTATACTTAAAAGCAATAGAGAATATGTTGCACCATGGATTAATTTTGAGTTTTTATTTTTTGTGCCGAATATAATAATTTTAATTTCTTCTATTTATATGAAGTGCATTAAATGTTTGTTTATTAATAATAATTATTATTATTTGTCTGTTAATAATAATAATAAAAATTATCATACATTTCCGAAAAGAAAAAAAAAAAACTAAAGACTCTGAAATATGATTCGTTTACCACTGAGGATACTTTGCAGCAGCTATGTGGTCGGTGCTAGATGGGTTCTCAATTCGTATAGACCAGCCATCGTCGGGATTCGAGCCGGGTACACCTCATTGGGAGGCGAACGCTCTATCACATAAACCACCATGCCTGTGCTATTGCCGTCCGAAGGGCTGAATTTCTTTTCATGCAATTATGTAATTTTCAAATATAAATATTAAACCGCCGCACAACACAGTAATTATGAATTAATTTATCATAAAGAACATATAAATACTTTTATTTAATATTCTGGAAAAGCCTTAAAAATCAGCTAGTAAAAATAAAAATAATAATAAATTCACCTGCATTAGTATTAAAAACGATCCAGTTTGATCCACTGTAGGTTAGAATTTCTGATTAGTAATTAAAACAGTAAAAACAAAAATATCGTTCAAATGATGAAATTTTCTTTTATTCATAACTCACGAAGTATTTATGGAATCTTTCTGGTCCCATATCTCAAAAATAGACTCACCAATAGACTCATGCATAACAAAATTAAAAGTTAAGAAAAGAATTCCAAAAAAATTATCAAACAGTGGTCGCCATAGTGCAACGCATGCAGTGACGACGCATGTGCTTTGTTTACTATTACTCTTGAACACAGTCGAAAAGTGTGATGACGTCCAAATAAGGTGTGCACGCCATCAAACTCGAAACAACACCCATTTTGCCAATGGGTAATAAACAGAATTGGTCTAAAGCACACCATGGGGCTTTGAACCATTAAATATTACTTTTTAAATAGCAATCACTTTGAATTCTTTTTTTTCTCTAAAACTACTTGTTAGACTAGACTGCTGAATTTAGATATTTTGGCAAGACATATTCTTTCTTGTAGTCTACATAAGCTAAAACGAATTAGGGGAAGCATGTTAAAATAATAACTAATAATATTTAATATAAATTTTAACTGAAAAATACCTGATATTGAATGAAACTCCGTGTTTTATATCAGTTTTTATTTCAGTCATTTATTTACTTTCATTTTTATTAACAAATGTCAGATCAAAGAAGCGTGAATTTAACTTTCTAAACTTCTTTTTCGAAGCCACGGATGCTGCACTTTTGTTCTAATAGCGATGTTTTTCTTTAACATTTCGAAGTTATGAGCATTCTTTTAAATTAAAAATAAAAATACGTAAACAAGGATAATGAAAATATAGCATATTTTAATCACCTAAAACATTTTAAATAATTATGTTTTCATACAGTAACTTTAAATAACTTTAATTCATATGAATAATATATAATATAAAATATAAAATACATGATATAAATGGGAATAATTTTTTTCCGATGTAATATGAGTGAAATGCATGCACATTATCTTGTGTCTCATGTTTCTAGAATTGTATCTTAATGTGTAATTACTTTAGAATATGCAAAGTTTGCACCTATTCATTTTTTCCAATTTTATTTATCAGTTTTTAAGCCGTATTTAATCTATTTTACAAGCATTCAAAAACATTTCGTGAAAGGAAGGAAAAATATTACTCTGGCTAGTAATTATATTATTTTGAAATTTAAACTTTCCCTTTTATAGCTCTGGTTCAAACGTCTTGTGACCTTGAGAAAGCCGGAAATATTGTAAAAGAATGCTTAGCAGCCTGTAAGAATGCCTGCAAGTAAGTTTCGTTCGTTAGAATTCATTGAATTGGAAAATAATATTTTATCTTTCAGATCATAGATACATACCAATTATTTTTCTTTTAAAAATTGCACTTCTTCTTCTCTGTATTGTTATTGCTAGGGTTATGGACTAATATTTTATTTAACTTCAATTCAAAATTCCATATACTATTTAATAAAAGAAATATACAACCAGATAATAATCTCCCTGCAGACAAAAGGATAAGATATTTAGCCATTCGATTAAAAACATCAAGCTTTTTGTGAGTAAGAGGAGTATAATTTAAAAATATATGTGCCATATATATGAAGCTCGGTGGCTGAGTGGTAGCGCTTCCCTCTCCCGTACACAGGTCCTGGGTTCGATCCTTGGGCCGGGAAAGGTTTACTCAGTCTTTCATCCTTTCAGTGGGTCGAAAAATGGTACCAAGCATGCTTGGTAATTAAACATTGGGGGTTCCGAGTTCGGCTGACCACCTGACCTTTCTTATCCTTTCCTCCAGACGTGGACACGTACCTAGGCTTGCAAAACCCTTACCCGTATAGTCAGACCACCTGATCATCTGCTCCTGCACCCAAGAGTCAAGATCATGGACACAGTAGGCTTTGGCCCTCTATGGGCTGTGGCGCCACTGAGTTTAGTAGTAATAGTAGTACCATATATATTTCGTTATGTGTATACGAAAGATGTACTTTTTGTAGAGATAAACTTTAAATACATTACGCATTGTAACAAAGTAAATGTCGCTGTCATGCTAGGAAAGTTATTATATAAATATATTTGTATTAGTAGTAGTGCTTTAGTATTAGTATACTACTATTAATAGTATTAGTACTAGTAGTAGTACGTTGTACTAGTAATAGTCCTTTAGTGGCTGATTAGTAGTACTCACACTAGAGCTGCACAACAGGCTATCAGTGACTGTTGAGGATATTGAGGATGATCAGAAGACGCCATCACAATTTTGGTCCTCTGCTGAGGGGATGACTCTTCCACTTAGTTAGCCCGAGTATACCGTAATTTACGGTAGAATGACAATAATAAGTATATCTCATCCTTTTACAGGCTGACCGCAGCCGCTGGTGTAGATGATTTACTGCACTGTAAAAAAATTGGCGTACACAATTTCCTATTCTACCAAAGTAGTGTTTTACTGCACCAAAACCTAAGGGCAGTTCCTGGGGCAGTGAAACCCCTGGAATATAATTTCACGTGTTGTAAAGTAACCAAACATCAAGTTTAGTTTTAAGTAACACTGAAATTTATAATTACAGTAAAATATGATACACATGAGAATCAGTAAAGTTATTTTAATGAGACAATATAAAGTAAGAATTAGTAATTTAATTTGCTGATTCTGATTAATANACTGTTACAGTCTAAAACCTTCTACATCTTTTATTTGAGTTGTTCATTTCTGTTTAAAATCTTAAGGTGTGCGTCAACAGTTGTTGGAATGAATACAATTTAAAGTGCTTCAACTGCTCAAAGCCATTGATGAAGCGGCAACTTCAAGCAACTTGCGTAAGTAAGTATAAAAATCACCCTTCATTCCTTAAAAAATGTTGCAGTACAGAATGTGCTCATAACCCATGGTATTCAGTTTTTGAAACTTACATCTGCAGTATTATCCTGATTAAAGGAAATCTCAGGGTTGACTACTCTTTCTTCTTCTGTATTGCTGTAATTAAGGAAAATTTGGTAAGACTCAAATCATAAAGTGTTCCAAACTATTAATATAAGAGGTAGTCAATTGAAAAACAAGCACCTACAAAACTTATCCCTTGCCTAATTTGGTAAAACTGTTGTTACGATAAACAAATTTGTAGAGTAGACGCAAATCATTTCGACAGCGCAAATTTCTACACGTTGCTACTTAATTGCGCCAGAGATGGTCATTGTGAAAATTGTTTTAATCCAGCAGTGGAAATCGAGAATGAAAGAGCATACAATTGGTGTCAGAGTTTACTTGTGCACTTGCAATTTATCGTTTTATGTCTGCTGTGTATGGCAATCACTAAGAGTCCCTGCCAAGTGTGCACGAATGACCAAAGTAATGCAGTGAAGGACGCATATCATGGCAAAGCGATTTACGCCTAAGACAGATTTGTCGAACCAATACGCCTGACTATTGTTGTAAAAGTAGGACTCTATGTACGCTGATCTAGACTAATGGCACCATGGACTAATGGCGACGGTCAAGAAAACATACTTGAGGATGATCCGATGACATGCCATCACAATTTTGATACTTTGCTGAGAGAAAGGCTCCTCTTCTTTGGTAGCCCGACGATTTGTGCTTAAAATATAGAATTTGACGGTAGAACATCTTCAGCCGATGAAAGTGATCAATTTCGCTCACTGACCATAGGCCAGTGGTTCCTTACTTCGGTGATCTACTGAGAATTGTGTCTCACGATTAGTCCTTGGATATCTGAAACCACGCATTTGATTTGCTTGTAGTTATGCTTTTAAAATGCGATTTTTTTTAAACTTAATAAATTGAAATCAACGATAGTTGAAATAAAAGAAATATGTTATGTATTGAAAAGAAAAATTAATATGGAAATTATACTAATTCATTTAAGAGAAACGTAAAAAATCATCTTACCATAATTCATGCCAATGATGCTTCATTTTGATAATAGGGGCTAAACGTATTTAAAAAATGGGGTATATACTTAAAAACAAAATTAATGGAGAAATAGCTCTGTTTCTACGGACTAATAAAAACGTAATTGTTGTAGTTGTAGTTCATTTACGTCGCACTAGAGCTGCACAATGGGCTATTCGCGACGGTCTGGGAAACATCCCTGAGAATGATCCGAAAACAATCCATCACAATTTTGATCCTCTGCAGAGTGCATGGCACTCCCGCTTCGGTAGCCCGACGACCTGGAAGCGAAGTCGAGCACTTTACGGTTGAACGTTTTATCAAGGACCAATACCGCAAATGTGTTTTGCTCAATCAAATAGAGTGCAGCGAACAAGAAATGAAACAATTAATAAGAAATATACAAAATTGAAATTGTTTTAACTTCATTAATTGTGTTGGTATGCGTCTCTCATTTCCGTGCATCACTTAAGTGTTATTTAGCACTGAATTCTTGTTTATTTTTTTATATTTATTCGCTTCTAGCGAAGAACGGCTATTCAGCTAGTTAAAGAGTAGAAGAATAGGGAAGTCAAAATTGAAAAAAAAAAACTCTACAGAATGTCTTTCATGATATCTTCCAATTATTGTTTACAATATTTTGTAACAAAAAAAACAAAAATCCTTTAATACATATTTATATCGAAATGCTTTAGAATTTTTTAAGCATTTTTCAGTTTAAAATTCCATTGGGAGAGAAACTATTAACTAATATTGTTCTAAACAAAAGCATTCCGAGAAATTTTATTATAAATAGTACACATTTATTGAATTTTTATTCATTGCTAATTTTAAGATATAACGTTATGTAAAGTAAAATATTTCACATAAAATGATATCTTATTAAAAAAATAATACCTATATCATTTTATCTTTATTGTCAAACAATATTGAATTCTTATTTAATTGGTTTGCATTGAAGCGAATATTTTGTAACGTGCTGTTGATCCGACAAAACTCGATAAAAAATTAAACTTTTAGAAACAACTTGGAGAATGAATTTAATTTTTTGAAAATGATCTTAAAGTATTTTAATATTTTTTCATTACTATTTTTCTTTTCGCATTAAAATTCATTGAATTGCTACAATGGAAAAAATATCAGTTTTGATTCACATTTCTCCAATGTATGATAAGATGTGAAATAAAAAATTGAAATTAGAAAACGGAAAAGCTAAGACGGTATCCGAATTGGATCCATTAAAAAAATAGAGAATATGTTGCACCTTCGACCAATTTTGAGTTTTTATTTTTTGTGAGGAACATAATAATTTTAACTTTGTTTATTTATATGAAATGCATTAAACGTTTGTCCATTAATAATAATTGTTATGTTTGCTTATTTATAATTATAATAATGAAAATTAACCTATACACTTCAAAAAAAATTAAAGACTCTGAAAAATGATTTGTTTATCACTGAGGATATTTCAGATCAGCTCTGTGCTCGGTGCTAGCCTGGTTCTCAATTCGTATCGACTAGCCGTCGTTGGGATTAAAACCCGGTACATCTCAATGGGAGGCGAACGCTCTATCACCTAAGCCACCACGACAGAGCTATTGCTGTCCGAAGGGCTGAATTTCTTTTCATGCAATTATATATTTTCAAATATAAACATTGAACCACCGGTCATGACAGTAATTATGACATGACAGTTTATAATAAAGAGCATATAAATACTTTAAATTAATATTATGGAAAATCCTTAAAATGAGCTAGTAAAAGTAAAAATAATAATAAATTCACCTGAATTAGTATTGAAAACTATCTAGTTTGAACTGTAGGTTAGAATTTCTAATTCGTAATTAAAACAATAAAAACAGAAATATCATTCAAATTATTAAACTCTCTTTTATTCATAACTCAAGAGGTATTTATGGATTCTTTTTGGTCCCATATCTAAGAAATAAATTCACGAACTTAATGCATAACAAAATTAACAGACAAAAAAGAATTCTAAAAAAAAATATCAAACAGCTGTCACCACAGCAACGCATGCAGTGACGACGCATGTGCACTGTTTACTATTACTCTTGAACACAATTGAAAAGTGTGATGACGTCCAAATTAGGTGTGCACGCCATCAAACCCGAAAAAACACCCATTTTGCCAATGGATAATAAAAAGAATTGGTCAAAAGCACACCATGGTGCTTTGAACCATTAAATGTTACTTCTTGAATAGCACTCACTTTGAATACTTTTTTTTCTAACACTGCTGGTTAGACTGCTGAATTTAGATATTTAGGCAACTAAAACATATTCTTTCTTGTAGTCTACATAAGCTAAAACAAATCAGGTGAAGCATGCAAAAATTATAACCAATAATATTTAATACAAATTTTAACCCAAAAATACCAGATATTGAATGAAACTACGAGTTTTATTTTAGTTTTTATTTCATTCATTTATTTGTTTTCCTTTTTATTTAACAAATGTCTGGTCAAAGATGCGTGAACTTAACTTTCTGAATATGTTTTTCGAAGTCACGGGTACAGAACTTTTTTCTAATAACAATGTTTTTTTTTCGAAATTATGAACATTCTTTTTAATTAAAAATAAAAATACGTAAACAAGAATAATGATTATGTAGCATATTTTAATCACCTGAAACCTTTTAAAAAAATTATGTTTCTATACATTAACTTTCAGTATCTTCAATTCATATAAATAATATATAATATAAAATATATAATATATATTATAACTGTAAATATTTTTTTCCGATGTAATATGAGTGAAATGCATGCACATTATCTTGTGTCTCATTATTTTAGAATTTTTTCGTAATGTGTAATTACTTTAGACTATGCAAAGTATGCACCTATTCATTTTTTCCAACAATTGTTATTTTTTACTAATTTTATTTATTAGTTTTTAAGCCGTATTCAATCTATTTTATAAGCATTCAAAAACATTTTGTGAGAAGAAAGAAAAAATATTACTCTGGCCGGTAATGAATGGGGGCATAGTATTATATTATTTTGTAATTTAAACTTTCCGTTTTATAGCTCTGGTTCAAACGTCTTGTGACCTTGAGAAAGCCGGAAATATTGTAAAAGAATGTTTAGCAGCTTGTAAGAATGCCTGCAAGTAAGTTTCGTTCGTTATTCATTGAATTTGAAAATAATATTTTATCTTTTCGATCATAAATAAATACCAATTATTTTTTTAAAGAATTGCACTTCTTCCTTCTGGTATGGCTATTGCTAGGGTTATGGACTAATATTTTATTTAACTTCAATTCAAAATTCCATATACTATTTAATAAAAGAAATATACAACCAGATAATAATCTCCCTGCAGACAAAAGGATAAGATATTTAGCCATTCGATTAAAAACATCAAGCTTTTTGTGAGTAAGAGGAGTATAATTTAAAAATATATGTGCCATATATATGAAGCTCGGTGGCTGAGTGGTAGCGCTTCCCTCTCCCGTACACAGGTCCTGGGTTCGATCCTTGGGCCGGGAAAGGTTTACTCAGTCTTTCATCCTTTCAGTGGGTCGAAAAATGGTACCAAGCATGCTTGGTAATTAAACATTGGGGGTTCCGAGTTCGGCTGACCACCTGACCTTTCTTATCCTTTCCTCCAGACGTGGACACGTACCTAGGCTTGCAAAACCCTTACCCGTATAGTCAGACCACCTGATCATCTGCTCCTGCACCCAAGAGTCAAGATCATGGACACAGTAGGCTTTGGCCCTCTATGGGCTGTGGCGCCACTGAGTTTAGTAGTAATAGTAGTACCATATATATTTCGTTATGTGTATACGAAAGATGTACTTTTTGTAGAGATAAACTTTAAATACATTACGCATTGTAACAAAGTAAATGTCGCTGTCATGCTAGGAAAGTTATTATATAAATATATTTGTATTAGTAGTAGTGCTTTAGTATTAGTATACTACTATTAATAGTATTAGTACTAGTAGTAGTACGTTGTACTAGTAGGAGTCCTTTATTGGCTGTTTAGTAGTACTCACACTAGAGCTGCACAACAGGCTATCAGTGACTGTTGGGGATATTGAGGATGATCAGAAGACGCCATCACAATTTTGGTCCTCTGCTGAGGGGATGACTCTTCCACTTAGTTAGCCCGAGTATACCGTAATTTACGGTAGAATGACAATAATAAGTATATCTCATCCTTTTACAGGCTGACCGCAGCCGCTGGTGTAGATGATTTACTGCACTGTAAAAAAATTGGCGTACACAATTTCCTATTCTACCAAAGTAGTGTTTTACTGCACCAAAACCTAAGGGCAGTTCCTGGGGCAGTGAAACCCCTGGAATATAATTTCACGTGTTGTAAAGTAACCAAACATCAAGTTTAGTTTTAAGTAACACTGAAATTTATAATTACAGTAAAATATGATACACATGAGAATCAGTAAAGTTATTTTAATGAGACAATATAAAGTAAGAATTAGTAATTTAATTTGCTGATTCTGATTAATACACTGATTCTTAAAATATAATGAGTTTGTCAATCAAATAAGCGCGAGAGAATAATAAGACGAGTTCGAACCTGGCTCAATGGAACAGAAGTTAAAGTAAAATGTAAATATACTTCTCACACAACTAAAAACAGTAATACATATTTTTTAACAGTGAACTTTAATTTTCACAGATTGAAAAAAACTCTAAAGCCATCCGCAAACACTCGGCAACTTGGTATCGATAGTAAACAACCATTGATTAAATCAAAACTTGCAAGTCTTGCAAACATTGGGAGTCAAAACTTGCAAACATTGGGAGTCCTCGAAAGCAAAAATATCTAAAGTCAAAATCGCGTAAATTTGTTTTAAACTTTTCAAATATTCGGCTATTTAGACAAAGAATATGGAAAGGAGAAATAGTCTTAGCCCTGATACGTAACTAACTTGGAGAACTTATCGGTGTGGCGTGCAGTACCAGAAAAACAACTTACAGGATGAGCAACATACTCAGATTTAGCAGGGTGTCATTTGAACTAAGATCCAGGAAATGCGCATAAGAAGCAAGGTGACAGCCAAGAGGTTGGTACACTACTTTCCACCAACCACAATTTTATTCTTTCTCTCTATGCCAAAATATGTTAGCAGATTATGGAATATGTTATATATGCAGAATATGTTAGCTGATTATGTTATAGATCTCTATGCCAAAATATGTTAGCAGAGTAATATGCTAGAAGATGGATCATTAAAATATACTCTCAAGGAAATATTTTAATTAATAGTACAATGCTGATTAGCAATTGTGTAAAAATGCAAAGCAAACCAACTATATACAAAAAAGAAAACTTTTTTCTCCTCCCCCAAACCCGTTTAAAGAACCTCTGCTGTTGTGCCCCTAAATGTTTTTTTCCTTTATACGCGGGGACCACGCCTAATTCTGGGGGACTGGCTTACATCATTACTTCTCCCCCAATGTATATTCTTTGATTAAGAACTTTCATGCACCCTTTTTTGTACCCTTTTTCATACACCCTTACTACTACCCTTTAAGAACTTTCATGCACCCTTTTGTAGATCAAAGCACGATTTGGTGTTGGTCCTTCACCCAATTTTGTTCAAGATCAAATTCGGACACCCCAGTTTTTAAAGTGTGGGAACCGTATCTTATGAAGAGTCCACTGAGAGATATACATTTGGAATAATTGAAATGTGTTCTTAGAAATTGCTTCTCTAAATTTATTACTTATGATTCAAGAGATAGTAAATTTTCATATAATTGACAATTAATAAGATTTTTCTTTACATAAAAAGATGAAAATGTACCAATTTGGTTTAATATCCGTTTGTGATCAGAAAATATTTTGTAGCGCCGAATGCAGGCCATAAAAAATTAGCAAAATGCAGTAAATATTTGAATTTGAATTTTCTCAGCAATGGCACCGATTTACGAACACCAAATTTAGAGCACCAAATCAAGAGTAGAGAGGACAAAAAATGAACGTCTCCCATTTGCAAACAAAATGTTTTGCCACTCTAAAACCATGCAATATGAAAAGTTAAAAGAGATCATTTAGCTTTTTTATTATCGTATAGTATCATTTCTCTCAGTGTGTCAATAAAAGTTTTGTAACACTAAACTCAGGTTATGGAAAATATAATAATTTAGTGTTCATCACATCTTACAAAGACGAACTCTTCGGAGCCCTAAATCTATGCTATGGAATCTTAAAAAAATTCGATAATTTATTTTAATTCTGCCTTTTTTTAATTGTTCTAGAGATGTTACCTCTACATTAATCAGGCTAAGGACAAAACATTATAAGGGCAGGAAAATCCGTCCCGTGAATACAAGATCAACGGAAAGAACTGCCCTGATTCCCAACTAACTCCAAAACAAATCTTTGAATTTCCCAATTTTTACTTCAAGTGTCTTAAGGATAGGTATGCTACCACTTCAGGAAATCCTTCTAAAAGCTCCGAGGTGCCAGAGCTGCAGTCAAAAGCTCCTTTAATGGCATCAAGTGAACAACTCTCATCCATGGACTCGACAGCAAAGAAGCCGATTCCTCGTTTCAATAAATTTTTGTTAGCAGCACTAAACATTAATTATTAAAAATGTAAAAAAAGTATAATAATTTAACGTTTTCCACATCTTAGAAAAAACAGTCGCTGCCCTGAACCTAGGTTAAAAAAACTTTGCAAGACATAATACTTCTTCCATATCCTAGCAGAACTTTACAGTTGCAGAATTTTGCATTTTATTGATTATTTTTATTGAATAAAAGCAGAAATTTATATTTAAAAGCAATGAAAATGATTTTAAACATTTATAAAAATTCTTAATAGATGCAAATTTTATTGATTTTATAGGGAGAGGAAATACATTTACAAAGTTCAACAGCAGCCGTATGTGAACAGGGTAATTAATCTAAATTATTCTCTAGTTTTTCTAAAATTATTTAGTTCTTGTGATAGAGACTCCTTTCCATGCAAAAAAATTAGCGTAGTATGTATCTGTTTCTTTATTCATTTAAATTTTGGCCTTTTCAGCTCCATTTCGTATTGTTTTNTGGCGCCCTTCAGAGAATTAAAAATACAAAATTATCTTCATCAAAGCCGATGCTTTACATCCCCGGCGTTCAGTGGCAGACTACTATTTCATATTGTTTTACTACACATGGCCTTAGCCCTCTGGTGGGAAAGACTTAAAAACAAAACTTACAACAGTTACTTTTCTCAACAACTGAAATTTAGAATAGTGTGATTAAGAAAAATATGTGAACTGTTTGCAATTTCAAATGATCAGTATTCAAAAAAGTATACAAAAACTAGACGTTAAGAACGTATCCAATGAGCGAGCAAAGCGAGCATTGGATTACGAAGTAATCCGAAATGAACTGTGAAAGCAGTTCCGGGGGTTGGTGAGAGCCAGCGAGCAGGGGGGGGGAAGCCTCCTAGTAATCGATGTTTAAGTATTTCAAGTATCTGTTTAATCTAGAGATGTGAGGGCTATTGTTCGTCAACCCTATAATGATGTTTAAGATTAAGTGCAGTTGCCGAGTATACATTTGCCCGGCATACTCTACTCTGATATTTTTAATGGTCAAGTGCCACTTTCCGGTATGTCCTTCACTGATGATTAAGTTTAAGTTCAATTGCTCGGTATACCTTACACTGATGTTTTATTTTAAGGTGCTTGATATACATTCGCTCGGTATAACCTGCACTGATTTTTTGTAAGGTAAAGTGTCCCTACCCGATATACGTTTATTCGGTACACCCAACACTAATTATTTTTTAAGGTTAAGTGTCATTGTCCAATTTTAATCCATTTGTTCCAATTGCCATTGTCAACAATTTTCGCTGAATTGTTGAAGTTAAGGGCTACCTTTGCTGTTCCGAATTCGCGAGAATTTTTAGTGGTTTTTTTACGGCCTCACTTTAACGGAACAGTACCGAATATATATTAATATGTATACAATTGTAACAGGAATAGATGTACATTAATCTGTATCTGTGTTTTAAGAATCTGGAAAAGATGGTAAATTCATTTTTTGACTGATTTTCGTGAACTGATTCCTAGATTTAGTAACTTATGATTTAGAACATAATCCTATATTTTGAACATGTAACTGTTTAATTGTTCTACAGTGAGCGTATTGCATTAATAAAATATTATACTAACTGAAAGCAAACTTTTTAAAAAATATATGTATACACATTAATATTTAAAAAAAATTATATATGTTATAAAATGATTTTATTTTTCTACGTTTTTTAAAATATTTTACGAAAAATCGAGTATGTTGTTTGTTTTTAAAGTTTCATAGCCTTTTGTGTTTATCTTACACATTTAATTTTATTTTTTGTATTCTATATGCTGCTTTTGTGAAGTTTAAAGATTGGGACGGAGAGTAAGTAATTTTTCGTATTAAGATGGTCCAATGTTTATAAAATATTTATTTCGAAAAGTGATCTATTTAAAATGGCGCGTGTAAAACAGTTTTACAGACATTTAATATTTATTGAGAAAGGTGATCTATTTAAAATTGTGTGTGTAAAACAGTTGTTATAGAAATTTAATATTTATCGAATATAGTTCTAAAGCACACATTACGTGTGTGAATTTTTAAATTAGGACTTAGCTTGAAATGAGTGTTTACGAGCAGCTTCCAGATTTAAAAACCCATCCACAATAATATGCATAGTTAGTTTGTGATGCATACCTGGTATACATTGTTCAATTTTTCTAGCAATTCACTGTATTGCTAAAACAAAAATGTGATTTTTTTGCTAGTCAACTTATAAGAGATTTTGAATAGCTCATACTATACCTATTTAACAAGTTTGATTTACTTCAGCGTTCAACATACAAGATTGATAGGTTGTAAGTTTTTTATGGTTTAGATACCCGTTTGTAATATAGGATAAATCCGGTTCTTTTTAATAGTGCTCAATCTTGACAGGTGTTCAGCTTTACCGGTTCCACTATTAAAATATTTATTTGAGGTGTTCCATAATATCATCCATATAGTATATCACCGTAATATTTATACAATAATATTCGAAATCTCAATTGCTAAATGGAATGATGCTATTTTTAAACAACATGTTATTGTTTTTTACTATTGCTAATTTTGCTGCGATCTCTAAAAATTATATAATATTTATATAATAATATTCGAAAGCTCAGTTACTGCATAGAATGATGCTTAGTATAAACAGCATGCTATTGTTTTCTACTATTGCTAGTTTTTGTTGCAATCTCTAATATGTATACAATAATATTCGAAAGCTCAACTACTGCATGGAATGACGCTTATTATAAACAATATGTTATTGTTTCATACTATTGCGAGTTTTTGTTGCGATCTCCAATATTATTTCCTTTTCTGACTTAAATTTTGACAAGGATTTAATAACAGTCATTAGAGAACACTCTGTGTCTACAAAATTCAATCATTTAATTTGCTTAAAGAAACATTCTTTAGATAATCATTGCTCATTGGCGTAATTGATTTTTTTACGTAATTTCTTTTCATTAGCGTGATAATTTCTTAAATATTTAAATTTTCAGTTTAAACATTTTACACTTTACACCAAATTTTACGCATCAACGTGATGTTCCGCTATACCACTATACTAACTTGTTTTCGATTACAAACTTCTATCGATTAAAAAAAAAAAAAAAAGAAGAAGAAAAAAAAAACGTTCCGACACATTGGTGTTTTCAGAAGGAAAAATAGTTCTCGTTTTGTGTAAATGGGTGAGAATTTGGTGCAAGCTATTGGCGATCGAAATGGGCTGCAGGTGGCGTGGAGCAGAACTCTCTACCTATGGCAAGACATTGCATGCTTTCACCATTAGCGTGTGGAGAGTCATAGAGGAAGGAAGTACGTTAGTTTCTCTCTTGATTTTCAAATAGATTAAAATCTTTTAAGTTGGAAAACTATATGGAACTGAAAATTTCATTTAACATAGTTCTGAAGAAAAGTATAACGGAAATTTAAAAAGATATTTTCATTAAATGAAAAGGAAAAACATTAAGAAAAGGGAAAATATCGTAGTACATTCCTAAGAAACTGAAAAGAGGAGGAGAGGGAAGGGAGAAGGGCCAAAGGTATGATGAAACCCGCCTCTCCCCAGATGGTGTATTCGAGCGTTGCGACTGCCAATAGTTCGTTCACTTAAAAGAGTGAAATACCATAAAAAATAGCGCGAAATATTATCAAATTTATGAAATATTCAATGTTAGAAAAATGCAGATAAAGTTTGCGAAATAAATATTTTTGACATACGATCGCCAAATAGCAACCTTGATCGCAACCTTCTTCCAAAAACAGCGAAATAGTATCGTCGCATTCCACGGGATGAAGGCGGAGTCAAGTGCCAACTGCTGGTGAACGAACTTATGACTGTTTAGATTTAAATCACAGCTTTTAAATCGTATATGAACAGTCGATTCAGTGTTAACTGGTAATAAAGTGTTCCTTCACACATTTTTGGGGGGTTATTCGGAGAGATATTACACCTCAGTTTTAGCAGTGCTCGTTTAACTTAATTAGCAAAAACTTTTTATTTCAGACTTGCGAGAATTCAAGTTGGTCTGGTCGTCGATGAACCAGAAATTCTAGTGCTTGCTCACAAACCTCAATATTTAGTAAGTAATAAAAACTAGTCAATTCAGATTAATTAAAAAAATTTCTCACTAATAATTTTATGTTCATTACTTTTTTAAAAAAACTGAGAATACTATGAGGTTTATTTATAAAAGTAAATAAAAAGGTATGATAAATTGTAATTTTTGCTGATCTAGAAAAAAAAAACTGTGTAGTTAAGGATAAACCCGTAGAATTTAAATAAAATAATCAGTATCGAATCATAAAATTCCGAAAAACATTTATTGCAAATTTGTAAGAGTGATGAGAAATAAATTAAAAATGGGCTGTTTGTGAACCTAGAAAGATATACAACTGGTAAAGAATTTTATATCTTGCTTGTTTTTGAGAGATGCAAACCTTAGTGAGATGATACCTTATTACCGAAACTCATTAATAGCATATATCAATTTGTAAATATATCTTTTTAAATGCTGCCAGATAATTTTTTAGGCTTTTTAGTATCAGACTTAGACGCTGTCTTACAATTAAAAAAGTAATGAAAAATCCATTTTTTATGTACTAGGGAGTTTTTGCATAGTGTTTGTCATATTTAAACCTTTTTTTCTCAACTCATCTAACGCTAGTCTTTTTTTTCTACTCCTTAACAATTTTGATAAGAAATATTGACGCATGCTCAGCAGAGCTCAAATGACTCTGTGGGAAAACTTTCCATCTTGCAAAATCCTTCAATTATTTGCTGCCTTTTTGGTGAATTAGCGTTTTGTATTAAGTGAGATTCGTCTTTTAATTAAATTAAAGTAAAATTGTATTTTACTCACTATTTTCCGGTACTGAAAATAACTTTATTGACCTCGGCAAACACATAATTGAAGTAATATTCAAACGATTTTCATAGATGACGGTTGGCAGGGTCAATAACTACCTATTTCCACATTGGTGACCTATGGACGTGAAGTGAACACGCCTAGCTTGGCAGTAACGCCCGCTTCGATATGAACACGCCTATCTTGACAGTAACGCCCACTTCGATTTGTAACGCCTACTTCGTTGGATGGTCCACATTGAACAGTTAACTTGCTACTTGTGACTGCGACATTATCCACCTCCTCGCACTGCTGCTGCTCAGTCTCGTCTCGATTAAACACAACGTCGTCTTGCATACACTCGACAGCTAACGGCAGCACAGGAGTGACTACGATCGTGAAGTTAATACACCTCTCACATTCAGCACTCAAAAAGTACGGTGTTCTTAATACAGCTCTCCCGGCTTCTCACTAAACAGCAATGAATCAACTAGTGTAATCCGTTCATCGAATTCTATCACAGATATAATTCTGGAAGGGGAGTACTGTAGGATATCTACCACTACAAAATTACAATTACAATTCACTAGTATATAAGACGTGTTTACTTGATTCTATGATGAGGTACCTTTTGATAGATGAAGGTTGACATAGTTGATTCATAATTCCCGTCATTGGTGACCCGGAGGTGATAAGAACTTGCCAATATTGATGGATGATCAACATTTAACTGTTGATTTGCTTAAAGAAAATAAATTACTCAAAGAAAAGAAGAAATAAAGTCTCCCGGTAATAANGTTGCTGTTGTAGTTCATTTACGTCGCACTAGAGCTGCACTATGAGCTATTGGCGACGGTCTTTTGTTGATGAGCTATTGGCGACGGTCAGGTCCCTGAGGATGATCCGAAGACATGCCATCGCGATTTTGATCCTCTGCAGAGGGGATGGCACTCCCGCTTCGGTAGCCCGACGACCTGCACGTGAAGTCGAGCACTTTATGGTAGAACAGTTTAGCGAGAACTCATACCGCACACCCTCCGTCCCTACGCAGACTGATCTAAGTGATCACCCACCCGCACACTGACAGCAGCCAGTGATGCTTGACTTTTTTCACCACTAGTTTTGCACATTAGTACATAGCTCGTTTTTACTTAATCTTTATTATTATTTATTTATGTATTTATATATCGTTAGTTTTCATTATTATTTTTACTACCGTTGGTGTTATATTATTTTAGTTCATAAAAACCCGTTTCAAAAGACTAACAATGACTAAAATAAAAGCGTAGTTTTGGATAGTTTTCAAAGTACAAATTCAATGACTCTTGCATGCCATACAAGTTGCTTTTGTATAAGATTAGATTCCATAAAAGGTCTGACAGACATGCAATCTGCTTCATTTTCCGCGAAAATTTTAATTAAATGGTAGTGAATTAAATAGCGAAACTCGTAAGTAATTACGCCCATTCCTTAAAAGTCACACCACGGGATATCGGCAATAAAGCTGCATTTCATATGATATCAAGCGGTTGAAAAACTATAGCGGTTGAAAAATAAGAAATACTAAACGAAAAACAAGTACTAATATAAAAAAAAATATTTCTAACGTGAATTCCTACTTAGGTCAACAAAGGAAAATTTTATTTTAGTTACTTTTTATTAAATTATTACAATTTTTTCTTCTATTAAAAACTAAACTTGATTAATTAAGTTTAATTAATTAAATTTATAATTTGTAATCTTAATTTCTAATTCAGGAATTCTAGTGGTAGAAAAACTACTACAAATAAAAAGTACTAAACTAAAAACAAGTAATATTAAAAAAAAAATATTTCTAACGTGAATTCCTACTTAGGTCAGCAAAGAAAAATTTCATTTTAGTTACTTTTACAATTTTACAATTTTTTTACAATTTTTTCTTCCATTAAAAACTAAACTTGATTAATTAAATTTAATTAATTAAATTTCTAATCTAAATTTTTAATTCGGGAATTCTAGGGGTAGAAAAACTACTACAAATTAAAAGTACTAAACTAAAAACAAGTAATATTAAAAAAAAAATATTTATAACGTGAATTCCTACTTAGGTCAGCAAAGGAAAATTTTATTTCAGTTACTTTTTATTAAATGATTACAATTTTTTCTTCTATTAAAAACTAAACTTGATTAATTAAATTTAATTAATTAAATTTAATTAATGAATTAATATTTGAAAAAAAAAACTGTATTAACATCAATTGTCATCCTCTACATGTTCGAAAAACTGTATTTAAACTTGATTGAAGGAATAAAAAGAAATCAAAATTAAAAATATTATTTTTAAAAACTACGTTTTTGTAGTGGAAAATAATAATTAAAAAATAAAAATTTGAAAAACGAAAAACGTGGGGCGCATGAAATACATAACAGTAATGTTATGTTAGTGTGTGTATGTGTATGTATATCTGTAATTGTTATTGTATCTGAATGTGTATGTGTATGTGGAATATGTTTGTGTATATGCATGTGTATGTGGATCGATGTATATGTGGATGTGGCTGTGCATGTGCATGAGTAAGAAAATGTGTATATGTATGTGTATGTGTACTGTTATGTATTTCATGCGCCCCACGTCTTTCGTTTTTCAAATTTTTATTTTTTAATTATTATTCTCCACTACTAAAACGGGTTTTTTAAAATATTAATTTTTTATTTTGATTTTTTTTTTGTACTCACTTCCAAAATCTCAATTTTTTCACTCACTGTACACAAAACTTTTCAATTGACATGTGACACTAATTTGAAATAATCGAATCGACAACAAAAGACAATCACGAAAATACTAATTTTTCCCTAATTTTAGTTTTATTTTACTTTGTATATCTTCTTTCTCTTCATTTTCATGCATTGTCATCCAATTCTGAACTATGTGCCAAATTTGAAGTCTGTAGTTAGTCAGGGAAGTTAGTTTAAAATCGATTACAAAATTCCACCCGGACAGACATACACGAAGGCAAGTTAATATAAACGTGGTAAAAAGTATTTTATTAACAATTGAAAATTTGACCAAGATATACAAACATACATAATGAAAGTGTAAGATAATAGTAGGAATTGAATAACTTAAAGTTCGGTCCCCAATAGAAAATACTTTTCTACGACGCGAATCAAGTTGGCATCTTTGGTCCAAGCTAAATAATTATTAAAAAATTTTATATTAACTCCTTTCTGTATTAAAAAAAAGTTGAAAGCTAGTAAAAATCTCTTGGAACCTTGGAAACAAATGATTTGCAACGATGTTCAGTGCTAAGCGAAACATTCCCATTTCAAACTGGAGTAATAGAAATTTATGTATGATTTTCAGAACAGAAGAGTAATACTATCCCTTGTACTCTTTGCACAGATTTTGCATAAATGAGATTCAAAGAAAAGCACACGAAATGCTCTTTATATCATTATAAGATGCTCGATTACTTTTTTAAATGTGATGCATATTCAATGAAATTAGCTTTATAAAATAAAGTTTCTTAGTGAAAAACATTGTATTTAAGGAAAGCAGTAATTCAATGAAGTTTATTGCTCATTCCTTCAATTAAGCGTGTTTTCAGGTATGTTATTTTTTTCAGTTAGATATGTTATTAAAGATGTCATTGTTTTCATTTCTTTTACTTTCAGGCTATTGAATTATTTAGTTACATCGGGGGATTTCTGGGATGCTGGCTGGGAATTTCTATTTGGTCATCGTCTTCTTCTGCTTTTGAAATTTTGAATCGTTTTAAAGCTATATGGAAAAAAGCGAAAGAGGAGGAAACGAAGGAAGATAAGGATTTATGGATGAATTAAAAATTTTAAATGCATGTCTCAGGAATATTTTCAAAAGGAAAACTTTTTATGAATTTCTTGCACTTGGAATAGAATTAGATTTGCCCTATTTCCAGAATTGTCTCTTGTGTTACATAATAACAAAGTTCTTTTCAACGCATCGATAAAAATGTAGAAAACATTTAAAATGTATAGAATTTTTCGGCTTACAAAAATGCTGTTACATTTTCTTGAAAAATTTTACATGTCAAGAAAATAGTGGTCTACATTTTTTAAATAAATTTTTATATTTTAAAACAGCTAGTTTCATTATTCCAGGCTACATGAAAATGACGAGACAGTAATGCAATATTATTTTCTACATTGTTCAAAAAAAAACGCACAAAGAAAAATATTTATATAACAATTAATTTCTTGAAAGTATGTTTTAGTTATAGGAAGCTATTTCCTCACTTATTGTTTGCAAAGCTCAGGTAAGGCCATCTGCTGAGACTCCAGAAAATACAAAAGATAAAAAGCAATAAAGGGTTTTTTACATAAATGAGGGTAAAAGTAAAGGTTGGCGTGGGATCAAGATGAGAAACCAGCACTGAGGAGATATTTTCTCTGTTGAGTTATAGGTTCTTCCATTTGATTATTTGTCGGTGATTTTATTTTTAATTATAAACATAATTATTTTATAAACCCAGTTATTTATAAGCATAAACAGTCAAATTCTTTACAGAAGGTAAACTCTTGTATATCCCATCCAACTTCTCATCTAAAAAATGGTCATAAGAATCAGACTAATTTTAAGTAATAAGCTATCTGAATTTCCTTTTATAAATCATTTTAAATTTCAAAAATGTTTTAACGTAACAAAACTAGAAAAAAATTACCCCAAAACGGATTAAAATTAAAAAAAAATTTTTAAATCTTTAAAAAAAAACAGTAATTAATAAATTTTTCCCAATGACCACCAGGAGAATGACCTTTCGTCATACAGGCTTCTGAAGGGCAGATTTGTACGCCACTCATTCAGGGGCACCACGTTAGATGGGCCAACGTTGCTCGCACAGTAAGGACAGATGGTACAGAGAATGAAAGAATATCCATGCCTTGCCCGAGATTCAAACAAGGAACCTTTCTGGTGCAAGGTTACTTCCCTGAATCTTACATAGTTCTGTCGGCACTTTTTTTTAAGATAAAAAACAGAAAAATTGGTGACATGACCGTTTTACGTAAGCATTTCTCATGTCCTTTTCTGTTCGATTAATTAACTAGTTAATTAAATTAAAATTCGAGCAATTGGTAACAAAAAGATATAATCTTCTCCATCAACTCACGCGATTATATCCTTAAAAATAGTGCTTTCTGATATCGTATTAATGTAGCAAAAGCAAAACTTATCAATACAATAGTGTAAGGATACATTGTTAAACAAATTCAGATATCTTTTTGGGGGTTATTTTGCTTCCACTTTACCACTACAAGAATTTTAAGCATTTCGTTAAGCATTCCATGCATCTTGACTCACCATAAATTCTCTATTGGGTAAAGATCTGGAGACGAGAGTGATGAACGCAGCTGGTTAGACTTGTTGTAAAGCAGTTCATAAAGTGTACCGTTTGCTTGGTGTCATTGCGTGTTTGGTCACCTAAAGCTACTCGGCACTTGCCCTGAGATCCACAGTATGTTTTTATAATATGCTTCATAATTTATAAACTTAAGATTACGAACCCCACTCACTTCTGCCTGTGCACTCCAAGATGATAATGACCAAGATGATTTCCGTGCTTGGCAATCAAACTAGCCATTCAAACAACCACTGCAAGATAAATTGGGCCATTAGTTTCAAGTCTTTGAGATGGTACTCGTTTCACTATGATTATTTTTTTAAATGCCAGTGCTTGCAATCTTTTCTTGGTATATATAATCATATTTATAACAAATTGTAAGTAGTAAGATTGTTTAATAATTTCACCGATTATTAGAATAGTTCAATAGTTAGTGATATAAATATAGAATTCGTTTTTTAATTCTAATTATTAAGTTAATGTATCTACCCAAAAGAAACTGTAGTGTAATATCTATTCGAATCTGATGTTGATCAATCCGAAATATTGTGTAAAACAACAATTCTATTTCAAATTAATATTAAATAGAGCACTCATATGCAATTTAAAGGGTGCAAAAGCACCTAGACTGGAAAAAGACAATATAAACGTTTGCTTATTTCACCGTATCAGAGAAACTTTTCAAACTAATCGAGAAAAAAATTTCTCACAATTATAAATGTCGTTTATCCGAAAATGAAATGGGAAAAATAATTTTTAATAATATAAAATATAATGTAAAATAAATTTTTAAAATTTTTTGAATGAAAAATAATGTGAAAAATACTTTTAGTAATTTTTTATAATTTTTACTCAATTTATTAAGAGTCGAGAAATCTTTAAATAGCAATGTATGCAAATTTTTACTTCATTAATAGCTTATAATCCAATTATCTATGACAAAAAACATAATTTGAATATAATCGGCTTATGAATTACAAATTTTCGTAACAGTTGCACTTTTAAACTTGAAATTCTCAAGAGCTGTTCAACTAATTTCTTCCAAGTTTTGTATTTTATCTTTTTATATTATAAAGTTTAATGCTAAAAAAAATTTGTACTCCTAACAATTTATAACTTCTTTGACAAATTTCAAATAAAATAAAATAAAAAATAAGTAATGGTTGAATTTTTTTTAACATAGAATTACACTAGGGAACAAATTTTTTGTTGCATTAATACAAATACTTAATCTCGTCGGATTCGGGTGTAGGGACAACACCCTGTTATTAAGCTAATGCAAAGGCTGGGAAAGCCTGGAGGGTAGGGCGTTGGATCCATGTCCGAGAAGTTGTGAGTTCGATCTCCGACTGCCGACTACTCTCCGTGTACAAAATTGTGACTAGCGCACGTTAAATATGTCGGAGTCACTGAGTCCACGAAGTTCCCATAATAAAACAATACCTCTGGAAGTATTGGATTGGAGATTGATCGTGATCTGGTTCATGTCAAAATTACGATCTGCGGATGCATGGAGGGTGTGTGAATGGGTCCTCCATGTAAAACGGCATGTGACATATGTATGTAGTCTTCGGATGGCAATAGCCCACAAGGATGTTTTCCAGGTGGTTGGCAATAGCCCATTGCGCAGTTCTAATGTGACGTAAATAAAAGTCCCGTATAGTAAACTTTTACTTTTCAACAAAAAATTTTATAAAAATGTCAATTTAAAAAAAAAACAACAACTATAGATTGGAAAGAGACACCGATTGCGGATTTTAAATCACCTATATAAAAGTATTATTAAAAGTAAATCACTAGCAACAACAATAAATGTTGTTTTACAGTATTATATTTTGACAAATGAATTTTATAATTAAGTGCAAAAATTTTTCGATTTGTTTCGAAAATGTCTTGATTATTGCAAAGTGAGATGAGAAATTATCATTCTAATTTTCTACCGCTCTCCTAACTAAACTCTTAAGACCATGTATTACAGATTAAGGATAACCAACTATTTCAATGGTTAAAAGTCCAAATCCTTCGATAAAAAAATTCATGGTTATTTGGAGAAATAATGTTTTCGTATGTACTTAAGTGGCTAATTTGATAATTATTACTAATCAATTAGCGTATTTTGGGTCATCCCTTGGAATAAATAAGATTGTCACTTAATTTGTGAAAATCCGATCATTCAAACTTAAGTTATTCAGTGTGATATTAGCTTTTTTTCCACTCATTGTACAAGCATGTGATAGTATCATCAATGCAAAATGTGATCTCAGGCATAGCTGTCAAAGTTTACGATCATTGGAAAGCATTTTTCATAAAATAGCAACAGTTTTGGAAAAATGATTTTTATTAAAAAAATATTTGACGGGCTAGAATCAATTAATAATTTAATCATAAGTATGCTATGTATAGTTGTTTCACAGTCATGATTTTCAAGATTCAAATCAACATCAATTAAGGGACTAAGTGCTGTGTCAAACGAATAAAATGAGAAATTGTTTTTTAAGTAGCGGCGAAGTAGTTTATTTTTTAGAAATTTCTTGCTACTCTTATTATTGTTAGTTTACAACTTCATAAAATCTTTTTTAACGGCCGTACAAGCTGGTAGCTTTGTGTATGCATCAAAAATATTTGCAGCATATGCATTCTTATGTAAATGTTGGTTAATTGGCAAATAACGCCCTCAAAGTAATTTTATGAAATTCGTAATTTTTGAATCCTTATTAAAGAGGAGAATAAAAAATATACAGTTTTAAGGGTCGAAAATTAATATTTCAGTGAAAAAAAACAGAAACACGACTGAAATCTAAAAAAAAAAATTTCAGTTGAAGAATGCGAATGTAATAAAAGAGATTTAATTGGAGGTTATAACTTTAAAATGCTTCTGTTAATAACTGTTTCGTACCACAATCAATTCTATCTTACATAATTTGTCTTTCTGTGCTGTGATAGACTTTTTTGTGTATGGCAAATTGTAATTCAATATTACAAATACAAACGAAATTATTATTTAAAAGTATGACTGAAATCACTGTGCTGGCGCAAAATACCATCAGTGGTTAACGGATCCTTTTACTCCTTTAAAATGTCCTGACGTGTTACTTTTTTTGAAGTTATACTTCTAATGCGACTTCCAACAAGGTTGCGTTAAACGTTTAACGCTACATTTTTACTGGCCGGGAAATCACGTGGTAGGATCCAGTTTCCCCTCATTCATTTCCATATTGTTTTCGTTCTGACTAGCATAAAAATAATAAAAGTATTGTTTTTCTATAAATATTTTTTTAGTTTGTTTTGATACACATATAATTTAATAGGGTAGTATTTTTTATTTTCAAATTTAATGGATAACACTTGTATAAAAATGAGTGAAAACAATCCCACGGACAATGCGACGGATTTAAGATTATGTCAAGGTACGTCTCTTGTGAATATCAATTGATTGTTTCTCTTCTGAAATCACATTATGACGCATTCACATACATTATTAATACATTTTCCAGGGCGAGACGATGAGGCAACTTCAAGCACTTCCACTGGTTCAAGTGGTCCACGAGGGAAAAATGCACAATATTACCGTTATCACAGAGCATGGAAGCGAGCGGAGCAGGAAAAAGAGTCGTTGAATAGAACTAGTGATCCTTCTACGACTGCTGATTCTTCTACAATTAACGTCGCAGTTTGTGAAGGTTAATTTCTTCAGCGGGGAGGGACTCCACGCACTATTTTTTTTAAATATGGGTTCTAAAAATGCATAAAAAAGGGCGAACTTTACGAAAAACCGTTCATTAATGTCTACAGTATAATATCAACTCATTAAAATATACTAAATTATTATTTTTGAATACATTAAAACACAGTGTTCACGTATATCTTCAGTGGTTGACGAATACCATTGCTCCTTCAAAATGTCCTTCACGTCTGTCAGTTTGCCCCAATTCATGATCCAGGAGTTTCCTTGCCTTCAGGGATGGGGTTAGAATTTATAAGGTTGCAGAGTTGGACATTGCAAATCGTAAGTTTAAAAATGTGTTTTTTGTTTAACGATGGTAATTAAGTAAAATATGAAATAAATATTGCACTCCGTCAGGAAAAAGTTACACAAGTAAAAAAAAAACGGCATTTGAGAAAAATAAACTTAAAGAATAATATAAAACCTATTATGAAATAGCACAATCCTGAGCACAATCTGAAATAGCACAATCTAGAGATGAGTCACTTTTTGAGCTGGATGGAGCACTTCATACATATTCATTAATTGCAAAATTGCTGTTTTTTTACTTGTGTCACTTTTCTTGCCGTGCTGCAACACATGCAAAAAGTAAATTTACGTGTGAAGCAAACTGTTAATTGTAAATTAATTTTTCTCAAGCATTCTTATTTAATATATGTAACAAATGGGACTTTTTGTTATGAAACTGCAATAGAAGGAAGTGGTACTTTTTTTGGAATATTTTATCTGCTTTCATTTCCAATTCCTATCAATTGTTTCACTGAATGATTTAATGTTCGAAATTTAAACAGACTCAGGATTAAAATATCAAATAAAAGGAAAACAACTAATGGTTTATAAATATTTATTTAAATCTAAACAAACAAATTTCAAGTAAAGACATTTTCTTGGAAACAGAAGAAAGCATTTATTTTTTTACATTTTGAACAAATTTGAACACAACTGAACTATAATTGTAGAAACATATTTAGAAAATTAGCTGATAAAAGTACAACACACAAAATATTATTAGAGCATTAGCCACTAGTGTTGGAAGTCATTAGTGTCGGTTGAGCGAGAATGATTCACCAGATAACCCAAAGCCTCAAAGCAAAATATTCACCTATGAACCGGAAGTTTGGTGTTTTGTGTTCTGAAACAAATGTGATCCTTTATGATAATTACGGCAAAACTACACGAATTGGAATTCCATATGCACTTTACCTTGCCCCTACTGACACTCCCTTCTTTCTCAATTTGAACAACTTCTTAACGGAAAAACAATTGAATTCCTGAAAAACTGTCAAATGGTAAACTTATCCGCTAGGGATTTCTTCAACTTGTTTCAAATAGGTTCATCGAAAAAAAAAAATTTCAGTTTCGGAACGCTCTTATGGGAGGAGATGTTTACTGTAAAAAATAATATAAATGGCACAAAAAATTTAAATGAGCTATTTTTCTTTCACGCACCGCATTGAAAAACGTGCTTTATTTTTAATTATTTGTGTATACATTAGCTAAACCATTTGAAATAACAACATTATATTTTTTTTAGTAACCTCCGAAAACCAAGGACAGAAAAGCAGAAGTTCGCAACTTCCTATTAATTTTTGGTATAATACTCTTTGTGTATTTTGTTAGAAAAGAACAGTCATTTTGTCGAATGATCCATTAAAAAGTTTTGTTAGAACAGAAGATGGTTGCTTGTCCAATTCTAACCACACCCAAACCTACAAATCGTCCAATTTTCAGGAATGGTATTTGCGTATCATAACTACTATTTACTAAAAATTTCAATTAAGTAGCATTCTTGGGCTCACCAAATTGTTAAAATTTCCTTTTTTTCATCCACTATAAATTTAAAGTCTGATTTCTTGAAGAAATGTGACGTCAAGGCTTTTGTGTTGCTCGAATGTAAGACTAGATAATCATTTACTCATTGTCTCAAATTTGACACACATTTCAATTGTCTGAGAGTAACAGAGAGACATTAGTTCTGACACCTAACGTCTCAATTGATGAGTAATTTAATATATCATCTTCACTCAAATCTTTCAACTTTTGGATTACTTTGAAATTAATAATTGAAATTCGTATGTGGGGCTGTGAAGGTTGAAGATAATATTAAATCACTTATCAACTCAAGAATAGAGTATGGGGCTGTGAAGCTAGCAATATATTCGAGAAACTCTTAAGTCTAGATTAGTTATGCAACTTCTCTTCAAAAGATTTTTTAATACGTTGAAGGCATAAACAATAACCTTAATTATACAAAAGAAGAATCTTGCGCAGTTGAAAATCTTTATTAATAGCTGTAAATATAATGTAAATGCATACCTGATAACTTTCACTCTTTCCGAGAATGGCTTTTCCAAGTGGTAGTAAAACTATTATTGAAAAACAATCTTTTCTTAAATTTATTTATACTTTAACCGGATTAAAATTTTGCGTTTGATAAGGACTATTATATTTTTATATATTTATTATAATTATATATATATAGTGGTGGCTAAACTCACTTATAATTGTTATTGTCATTCAAAAAGTTTAATGGAATAACATGAGTTTCGCTACCATTTTAAATATAAAAATAAAACCTTCTGGGAAAATCTGATGAGTTGCCAGCAGAAAATTGGTGAGTTGACTGGGTAGAGTGTGGGTAGAGTTCGATATACAACCACCTCGAGCTGATGCACTTTAGGTTGTTCTGATCTTTCTTTCTTTATTTAAATCAAGCTGGGTGCCTGGGCCGCGCAGCGGCCCCTAACCCAGTTGTTCTGATCTAACAAAATGAACGAATATATATACAGTGAAACTGAAGAATAAATTGGTAAACATCTTATTATTTCAAAACGTTGCACAAACGTAGACATTTTAACTATTAATCGGTATTTATTTATTTTATTCAAACCATGAAAGGACTATATCTACATATTTATTTCAAATATTTTGCATTATTAAATATTAAAACATTTTTATAATTAAATGTTAAAAATGTAAAAAAAACGCATTCGTTTTAATAATTTCATTAATTATTAGTTCTATGCATGAACGGAAGAAATTAAGCTATTCTTAATTTTCCGTATGCCTAATTCATTTATATTTATTTCATTCGAATTAATTCATTTTTTTCGCCTCACATTATTTTACAATTTGCTGCATACATGGCAAAAGTGCAGAAAAAAATGGTTGAATACGTGAAGGAATTAAATAGTTATTTAAAACTGTAATCTACACGAACATTGTTTATTTTCTAGACAAAAAGCTCCTACTAGACGACTTTATATTACAACATACTGGGGATTAAATGGGGAGCTTATTTAAACGTTTTTATTCCGTTAAGAGTTTTTAGTGACTCTTCTTGAAGTTTTCTTTTTAAGTGAAAAGCATAAAACTCTGATTAACGATTCACCTAAATCAAATACTGAAACTAGACTTATTCCAAGCCATAGTCCCAAATAGCCTCCTATGTAGCTGAATAGTTCAACACTCTATAAAAAATAAAAACATTATTCAAGTCATGGTTAAAATGCATCATTTAACTCTCTTAAAAAATATAAAAAATAAGCTATTTTCTAAAAACTAAAGTGAAAATGCAATGAATGAGGATGAAGCACAAGGTTAGAAAATATTGTTACTGGAAAGATAAGAGATTACTAGAAAATTTGCATTGAAGGTTTCAGTGAAAAGAGTCAAACGAGATAAAAACGAAAAAAAATTAAGGAAAAAAATAAGAAAGATAAGAAAAATAATAATATTACTAACAGCTCTTAGGTTGCAAGCATATCGAACTCATAAAATAAGTTGAAGATATAGAGAAAACATGGGAAATAATATAAAGATTAAGGAAAAAAGAAGGATAAAAATTATTAAAAAAAATAATTTTTAAGAAAATAATGATTTTTATTTTTATAAAAATTAAAAAGCCGGAAATCAAAATAAGGAAAAGGCATACTCTCATCATCAGATCACACAATTATATCCGCTGAGAGGAGTGCTTTCCGATTTTTTATGAATATACCCAAAGCAAAATACATCAAAATAATAGTATGAAGAGCACCCGAAGAAAATTTAGACGAAAAGAGAACGCATTAAGTAAAAAGTATAAGAAAAGCAAGTAGAGAATTCAAATGAACTTACACGTTCCGGAATCTTTCAAGAATGATTTAAAATAATTTTGCAATAAATTTGCTCGATTTCAAATTATGAAAAATCGAAGCGAAAATAAAGGAATATTTCATGACACGTTCTAACTGCAGTACTGAAGAGAGTTATTTGTATATACAATATATATATATATATATATAACTNTATATAGTATAGTGTAGTTTATTGATATTTGCTCAAGAAAAAAAATAGAATTAGTAAGTAACTCAACTTAAGAAACAGAAAAAAGACAAAGTTGAGAAGTTAATTTAAGGTTTTTATCTAAATAAATTCCAAAAATGATTGTAGTGAGCAATTTTAACAAATTAGTTAAGTGTAATGAAAGTTAGAGAGTAACACACACAATGAAATTTTCTATCCATGAGACACAATTTTTAATTTTACTACACTTTAATTTGCAAAGAAACAGTTAAAACACGGAAAGCAAAATAATTTTGTAAAATCTCATTAATCTTGAAGCTTTCAGAGGTAGTAAAATGCCTGGAAGATATTGGGTAAGGAGCAGACATTGTTGAATATGTGATATTCTAAGAAATTTTGACACATTCTTTATTCCCGGGCCGTTTCAAGTGCTTAGCAGTATGTTAGCCAGCAGGAATAGTAAAATTAACTTTAATATCTTTATGAACGACTTCAAACACTTCTCCTACAATGAAATTAATAATCTTAGGAATTTTTTTATTAATTTTATAAAACTTTTCACTAAAATTAATTTACACTAATTTGCACCGGAAATTGTTTAATATTATTATTTAAATTATTTCAAATCATTTTATTTTACAACATTTCTTACATTCCTTAATTTATACTACCAAGCTTCGCTTGAAGACTATGCCAGAATTAAATTGTACAGTAATATTCTCAGTTTATCCTTTATATTTTTAACTATCTGTGTTTTGAAAAAAAAAAAATACTCTAACGGTTTTGCGTTCGATGGACCTTGATTTGTTTAAATTAATTCGTTTAACCACTGAAGAAAGAATCAAAAATGTTTTTATTGTTGATATGCCCAGAATAAAATTGTGAATAATAATCAATCAATAAGTAACTTTAATTACATACAAACATATTACAATGAACTGGGTATTAGGTTAATATTTGCTTTCCCTCTTCACATTATAGTGTTTAAAAAATTTTTTTATTACTGTGTTAATGTCCTGGAATTTATAAGTCAGGAAAATGACAGTCAGGATAATGCAAATTTTGCCATTTTACAGTGTTAGGAGAGTTAATATCGACCATGTCAACCGTCGTCTATGAAAAAATACTTCACCATAGAATGGAGTTAACGTGTCTTATATACTAGTGACTTAGAATTATATTTTTGTAGTGGTAGATGCACTATAGTACTCCACCAGAATTATATATGTGATAGAATTTGATAAACGGAGACCAATAGTTTATTCATTACTATTTTGTGAGAAGCCGGAAGAGCTGTATTAAGATCACCATACTTTCGAGTGCTGATCGTGAGAACTGTATTAAGTTCACGGTCGTGGTCGTTCCTATGTTGCCATTAGAAGTCGAGTGTAAACAGGCCGACGTTGAATGTGATCGAGACTGAGTAGCAACTGCGCGAGGAGGTGGATAATGTCGCAGTCACAAGTAGCACGTCAACTGTTCAATGTGGACCATCCATAGAAGTGGGCGCAACTGTAAAGAGGGGGGTGTTCATATCAAAGTAGGAGTTTCAGTCAAGGTAGGCATGTTCACATCACGTCCAGGTCACCAATGTGGAGATAGTGGTCATTGATAATGTCGCAGTCGCAAGTAGTAAGTCAACTGTTCAATATGGACCATCCATAGAAGTGGGCGATACTGTCAAGATAGTCGTGTTCTTATCAAAGTGGAAATTACCTTCATGGCAGACTTGCTCATATCACGTCCGGGTCACCAATGTGGGGAATAGTTGTTAACGACAATGACTACCTTCATCTATGAAAAGGTACTCCACCATAGAATCGAGTTATCATGTCTTATACACTAGTGAATTTAAATTGTATTTTTGTAGTGGTAGACACACTACATACAGTATTTAACATTACTTTAATTTAACATTTTGGCTCAAGACATTTACTTTCGACAGAAAGCATCAGGTTTTCTCGAAATAACAAAGGTAAATGTAATTATTATTTATTAAATCAATGATTTCAAAAGGACAGGAAAATTACAACACGTAATTTTGATATTCAATTAAATTTTTAAATTATACAAAACACTCAATGTTAGTGCAAAGTCATTTTAAAATGCTAACAGCAATGCTATTTATAATTTTTTTTTTTAAAAGTTCTTTTAGTATTATAGTATT